CCTTCGAGTAAAAAAAAAAAAAAAGCCGATCCATCTCTGGCACGTCAAGTGGGATGGAAGTTATCCCCGATTGAATAGACGCAGTTAATATAGGATTACCCCGCCGCGGTTTTTCTGTTTGTGTACGCGGAGAGGGGGGGTCGCCAGGGGGGGGGGGGGCGCAAAAGGGGGGATCGCCGACGTGACAGCGGCCTGTCAGATTCCCCAAAAATGACGGCCAGATGTGTATCCCGCTAATCCCCCTCGTTAAAACGACATTCCCATTGACAACCACTCCGCATTGTCCCCGTTATCTCAGCCGGAATCCTCCCATAACCATTCTTTATCCTCTTCGCAGCCAATTTTTCCCGAGGGCAATTTTTTTGTCAGCCAATTTCTTTGTCGGCCCTCCCTCACACCCGATTGGGCGCAAGTCATCCGGGTTTCTTGCTAAAATGAACTCGCAGAATGCGCTCATAATTAGCCGCTATTGCCGCCGCGAAACGAAGTCGAAACGGAAAATTAAATTAAAGGATTTTTTTCTTCAAATTAGTCTTAAATACTATTATATAAATAATTGACTCAGAAACTAAATCTTCGAGATTTCATGGTTCGAAAAGGATGCGAACGATTTTTTTAAGGTAAATTACTTTTTTCTTGGGAGAACCTATTCGAGCTGCCGCCCATACCAAAAAGAAAATTCCTCCCTCGCCGAAAATTCAATTCTTGCAAAATTCAATTCTTATCAAAAATTCAATTCTTGCAAAAATTCAATTCTTTTCAAAAATTCAATCCTTGCAAAAATTCCATCCTTTCACCGTGTAAGCTGCCGAAGCTTAAAAGGCCAGAAAGTAAGGGAGCGGTGCACGCCACGCTCAAGAAAGCATGCGATCCCAAGAGCGCACCTCCCCTCCGCACCTCCCCTCCGCACCTCCCTCCGCACCTCCCTCCGTCCCCTCCCTCCAAAACGGGGTGTCATGTCAATAGAAGGCCGAGCAGGAGCCGGATAACGAGCCTTCTATAGGTATTCGAGAGTCCATTGAAAGGAGTCAATTATTCTCTCGCCCTGACAGGAGGCATCTGGTGGCCCCGAGGCCATCCCACGTGCCACCGGTTTACACAAAAATTTTTTTTTTCATTCCGTTTCCATTCAGGGCGGGGTATTCATGCCTCGGTCAAACGCTTTGACCCCGTTCGGGGGACAAAGGCCGTTAAGCGCGAAATTGGCAACGATCCGGCAAAAATGAAATGTGTACACATCGCCGCGAAAAAAATTACGCATTTTTGCATAAATGGAATTCGAGATTCCAGATGGTAAGGATTTTTAATATTCGGACGGTGCTAATTACCGATGTCGACGAGTATTTAAAACAAAAATGGCAATTTTTTTTTGCACTTGGGTCGGGATTTGGCCGATTTGGTCGTAATCCTCCTCGGCATGTGCCGGCTTTCCCGATTTCCGATGAAATTTCCCCCCCAACCGAGATGGGGGCAGAAAGGGTCGGCTGGATGTGTGCAGTCTGTGTATTGAAAAGCCATGCAGGGAAGAAATGGTAGATGGGGCTTATGTGTGGGAGCTCTCCATAATGGATCGGGCGGGCTTTATGGATTCCGCGCCTTTAAGGATCAGAGTCTCACGCTCGGCGGAGGGGAAAACGCCTTTAAAGCCGCTTGACGACTCCATTGAAAGCCATAATTCGATTCCGTCTCACTTCCAGCCCGGAATTTTTCCCCCTTCTTTCATCTCTTCTTTCACTCCTCTGCGCCTTTTCGAGCAAGTCCGGCCAAATTTTTTTTTTTTTTGCTCCAGCGGCATATGGTCGAGGAGAGAATATTTTTGCATATGCCAATTATCAGGCAAGATGGGAGATAAGATTCATCCTGCCACTTTGAGTCCATCAAGAAAGCCGCTAATCCCGTTCCATCCGGCTTCGGGTTCCTGTCGATATGGATCTCTTCCAATATGTTGCATCAGAAACGCTCTTAAAATCTGAATAGAGAGCCTGGGAGGTTCAAATCCTGGGATGTTGAGAGCCTGGGAGGCTGAGAGCCTGGGATGTTGAGAGCCTGGGAGGCTGAGAGCCTGGGAGGCTGAGAGCCTGGGATGTTGAGAGCCTGGGAGGCTGAGAGCCTGGGATGTTGAGAGCCTGGGAGACCGAGTGCCTGGGAAGTGGAGGAGCACGACGCGTCCCCGGAATCGACGGGATAACTGGGAAAGTGAGCATTATAAATTAAAGGGGGGGTAATATAAAACAATGTCCCCAAAATCGATGTTTGAGGGCAAACATCGAAGGCGTTTGAGACCTCGATGAAGAATTCAACGCCCCCGATGAAAAATTCAACGACATCGCGGAAAAAGGATATTACCGTCCCACCCATCCGGGGGATTCATTAGCCGCTCATCAGGCGAGCAAACACCCGTAATGGCGCGCCTTACCGTCCCCCGGTAACGTCGTACCTTACCGACCCGCAGTAACGTCGTACCTTACCGTTTCGACCCGAGATTGCCCCCCCCCCCCCGATCGATCGCCGGGGGTAATGGGTGGTCAAACATAAATGGGAGGTCAAACATGCAAACACTGGAGATCCCATATCGCGCGCGTTCATCTCGGGAATGGGTCTACATTATTATCGAGTAAAAGTCTCGGCTGCAGAAGAGGGCGCCCTATGAAATGATCATCGCCCTCTCCAATCCATTACATTACCGCCGCACACTCCTCTGTTTGCACTCCTGCCTATTGTTCTCTTTTTACACGAAAAGAAAGTGTATATCATAGGGACCAGGCTCTCACAGGCAACAGGCCCTCACAGGCAACAGGCCCTCACAGGCAACAGGCTCTCACAGGCAACAGGCTCTCACGGGCGACAGGCTCTCACAGGCAACAGGCTCTCACGGGCAACAGGCTCTCGCCTCGACTCACCTTCGATTTTAAAGACTGCACGAAATCTGGACGATTTTCCAGGAATATTTGCACCTTTTATTTTCACATAAATAACAATACCGAAACAATACCCGTACGATACCGATGTTGACCCAAGAAGTCAGAAGGTCGACATCTGCGACTCGGCGAGGCGTCGAACCGGAAGGAAACACGGACAAAGGGGGAGGGAGGGGGGAGGGGGGGGAAGGTGGAGGGGGGAAGGAGGGAGGGAGAAATAATCGCAATAATGGACAGACCCGGTTTCTGCTTAATTTCATCTCCCGGGCTACATATTGCACACTTGCAGCTGCATCTTGTTCCTGGTGGCGCATTGGAGTCCATCCAATCGTGATTTGCGACAGAAGGTTGGGGTGTAAAGGCCCCGAGTCACGCGTGGATTGACGGATTGGCGCTTCGACCATTTTTCCTTGGCTCGGGGATGATTTTTTTTTTACGTTTCAGGAATGTTTTTCGATATTCCAGGAATGATTTGAAGCCGTATTTCGTGAGTAATTTTTCGAGTTACAGGAATGATTTGCCAATTTCTATGGATAATTGGTCATGATTCGGTATTGATTTGCCAATTTCTAGGGATAATTGGTCACGATCCGGTAATGATTTGCCACATTCCAGGGATAACCAGCCAATACTAGGAATGCCCTGCCAAAATCCCAGGAACGTCAATATCGTTTCCTTCTCTCCCCGCCCAACAGGATAGTGCGAAACAAAGCAGCCGAGAAAGCGAAGCACATCGGCGTGGGGATGCACGGCAACGCGACGTCCGTGATCGCCCACGCCCCCCCGCCGGACCCGACCACCCTCCTCCCCCGGTCGCCCTCCTACTCCATCAACGGCATCCTCGGCATCCCGCATTCCCACCAGGATCCCAACGCGAAGCGGAAGCGCGACGAGAACGGTCAGTGCCTCCCTCCCGTGCCTCCCTCATCCGTCTGTTATCGACTCCCTCCAGCCCTCTCCGGGGACTCTCCCCGTGCATATTAATCCCATTAGCCCCTCTCTCTCGTTCCATCTCGTAATTAATTGGTGCTTCAACTCCACTGAGCTGGAAATCCCGGACTTCCCCTTCCCCATATGTTCGGGGTACTCACGCGATCCGAAAATGAAATCCGGCTTCGAAAATGAAATCCGTCTTCGAATTTGAAATCCGGCTTCGAATTTTGAAATCCGGCTTCGAAAATGAAATCCGGCTTCGAATTTTGAAATCCGGCTTCGAAAATGAAATCCGGCTTCGAATTTGAAATCCGGCTTCGATGCGACGTTTCCGTTCTTTCGCGCAGATCCCGAGCACCCGAGAGACATGAACGGGCATCACGACGGAGACCTGAAGCGACAGAGGTCGTCGTATCCTGGCGATCAGATTTACTCGAGCGTAAGTGTCCTGAGACTTTTAAGTCAAATGCATTTAACAAATAAATCATTATAATTGTAAATGATACAATAATACTTCAAAAATAACCAATTGATGCAAAGAAAATATATGCAACTAAATTTAGACAATTTTATTTATGATTGATGAACAAAAAATTTCCTAAGTTTGCCTTTTTTTGTCAATTGCAAATATCGTAAAATAATGGATGGAAATTTTAGATTGATTAATGTAAATTTTATGTATCCTGTAATATTTTCATATGTAAATTTTAGATGTGGACAACCCACAAGTGGGGCACCCCGCTGCAGCCGATGAAGGAGGACGGGAAGCCGAACCAGCTGGACATCCCGCTGGGGCACCACGGCGCGGGCTACCACTACGGGGAGGGCGGAGGCGGAGGCGGGGCGAACCCCGGCGGAGGAGCGGAGGGCGACGGCGGGGACGGGTTCGACTCGAACGGGGAGAGCCTGTACCATCACCAGGGGTCGCCTGTGAACAATCAGCATTCGCACTCGGTCTACTCCCCGTCCAATCCCATCCCTGCGGCCTTGCAGAGTGAGTTAATTTGGTTAGCGCTAATGAGTAAGATTAATTGTTTTCCTGTCGTCGGAGAAAGATCCGCTTTCGGCGAGGTCATCAAACGTTCTGCTTAAAGTAGAAGTCTCGTTATATTTTTATTATGCAATAAATAACGTATCGAAGTAATGGACGAAATCGTTAGAGCCGCATGGAGTGCGGTCAGGAATCTTTTTTTTTTTTTGCTGCGAGGCCTCGAAGGCCATTAGGCATCGATCGATCGATCGACTACCGGCGAGAAAGTCGCATTGTGGGTCGCATTGTGGGTCGCATTGTGGGTCGCATTGTGGGTCACCGAGAGATTTATGATGCAGATAACGGAAGCGGGGGTGGACCGGGCCTGACGCCCCTGACGCCCATCACGATGCAGGATGTGAAACCGTCTGTGATCCACCCGTCTGTCTCCTTGGCCGATTCCATCGCCCAGTACCAGCAAAGTGAGTGGATTCTTTCCGGTCGGGAGGGATGGTTCCGCGTCGCCCCCCGGGGAGGATGCGGCGGGATTGGTGGAGGGCGGAGGCTCTTCACCAATGGTCGAGAGGAAAGCCGTCCCGGGAAGGCTTTGGGAGGCGGGGGGTGATGCGGAATCGCAGAATCTTCCTGGGGAAAAAAAAATACGGTCAGAAATTTCGAGTTTTGACTGGAAATCGCGGTTTGCCTTGAAAATTTATTATTACTTTCCTGGAAATTTGTGGCCGTATTTATTTTTATTTATTACCATGCACATTTTAGAGCTCCATTTGCACACTTTGTAGGGCGTTTCATCCACTGTACATAAAAAGGAGGTTGTAGGGCTGAGCTGCTTCTGCTCCACACGAGAATTTCCGGGGTCGTTCGAGGTCGCACTCAGACTTGCATGGGTTTGTTTTTGCCTTCGGGGGGTGGTCCTCGAAGGTCCTTGGTGGTTGGTGCATGTCCTTGATCCTTGCCCTTGATCCTTGTCCTTTCTGCTCTGTCGGCTTCACGGGATGGGTTGCATGAAGATTGGATGGATATCGGCTGCTCTCACGTCGATACACGCTTTGCAATGCAAACTAATCCGATTGTTCGATGGAAAACTAATGGTACCAAGTATAACTAATGATACGATTCTCACATAAACACTAATTAAAAAAATAATGCACAAACATGCTGATAATAATAATTTAATAATGCTCCGTGAGATCTTCAATCCTGGCCGCGACGGACCAGCATGCTCACTAACAGAAAACTAAAGAGGCGGGAAAAAAAAAAAATGAATTCCACCTGTGATATGTGGCATGCAGGTCTGAGTGCGTACGCCGAGTTGTCCGGGGAACTCCACCACCAGCAGGGGAGGCCCGACTTATCCACCCCGCCCCCGCCTCCACCCCCGTCGGGAAGCCCAGACAAGAATCCCTCTCCGTCCTCCCTCACCATCCTCCACCCTCCCTCCTCCAACAATTCCCTCCTCGCTTACAGCCCCCTCACGCCCTCTTCCTATGGACAAGTCACAGGCAAGTCTCTATGGTCTCCCTAAAAAGAAAAAAAATTGCAGGAGCAGCTTGGCAATTAGTTTCAGGGTGAGCCAGCGGGTTGGCAATTAGTTTCAGAGCGACCCAGCCTCTTGGCAATAAGTGGCAAGGTGACCCATCAAATTGGCAATTAGTTTCACGGTAGCTCATTTATAGGTGCCGCGATGATTTACAAGTGGGTTCTTGAAGCTTTCATCCTTAAAAAAAAAATTCAAAACCAAAAAAAATTTAATTTAGTATTAATAAAAGTTTCAACTGAAGAATTAAATCGCAAAACTTTTTTTTGTTATCCCGTTTCGTAATCAATCAGAATTTTTACATTTGAAAATAACTTAAAACTACAAATTTGAGCTTTTCATATATTTTTGGAGGGGGCACCTCCAGTCAGAAATTAATTATTTCCCATCCCATATATATAAATACGTATATTTATAAATAGGTGGAGGCACTCTACCCAGCCTGGGTCACGGTGATTATCCCTACAACGCACCGTATCCCCAGTACTCGTCCGGTTACTCCGCCGGTTACGGTTCGGGTGGGCTTCTCATCAAATGAGACCAAGTTCTTTCTAGGACCTTATGGTGAGCAATTATATATATATATATATATATATATATATATTATATTTATTTATTTATTCACGCGCATTTAAGGTATGCTTGCTTGTACCGCAAATAAATATATATAATATGTAAAGTATAACATGTAAACATATGTATCACTTTCTGGATTCATACCACTATTAAAGCGAAATGTTAATTGATGCTTAATGATAACTGAAGCTCGATAACCAAAGCCTGATGATGGAAGCTTGATGCAAATCATTATGTTTGGAAAGATCACAATGGAAACATCCAAATCCGAGTGAGCTGAAATATTTATATATATATTTTTTTGTGTTCTCCTTTCCCACAGGTCCGACGAGAGGCAATAAACCCCGGATGACAACGTCAATAGCAGAGTACAAATCCACATTTCTGTAAAATGTAAACTTTTTTTTATATATTTATTCCGCCTCTGCTTTCCTTTCGGACGTAGTTAGGGGATTTCTCTCTCTCTCGCGATTTGGGATGTGCAGCAACCTTTGGGATGTGCAACAACCTTTGGGATGTGCAGCAACCTTTTGGGATGTGCAGCAACCTTTTGGGATGTGCAGAAATCTTTGCGATGTGCAGAAATCTTTGGGATGTGCAGAAATCTTTGGGATGTGCAGCAATCTTTGGGATGTGCAGAAATCTTTGGGATGTGCAGCAATCTTTGGGATGTGCAGAAATCTTTGGGATGTGCAGCAATCTTTGGGATGTGCAGCAACAGGGTCTCGGAAATCACTGTACAAGTCTTCGTAGGTCTACGTGGAGGAAGTGACGTCACGCGGCGGTGACGTCACGCGACGATTTTTATTTTGCACCTCGATATCACACGGGCATACCAAAGACGTATTTATATCGGACTTTTTTTTTTTCCTTCGCTTCAGTTAGTATAAATTTATCAGGAAAGATTCATGTGATATTGTGATACCTCCGATATTATTCCCGCAAAAATCTCGTTTTCATCCCTTTTTTCCCCCCTTTTTTTTCTGTGTTCAAATTTTTTTTTAATGTCTGTGCTGCATCGGAGAATAAAAAGCAGATTTTATAGCATTGAAGAATTTTCGATCAGGAATCATTTTTCCGGAACTCTTTCCGGAATATTTTTTTTTTTGTTCGGTCCGGAATTTTTTTTTTTTTCAAAGAGATTCATTCCGGAATCATCAATCTGCCGGAAAAAAAAAAGGATGGAGGGAAAAATTTTTGCACAATGGGGCAGCTCGCCCGCACAATTAGCATGAAAATGACTTCGGCAGCGAAGATCTGCATCGCCAGACCATTAAAGGCGCCATTATTATATAGATGGCGATCCCCAATTTCACGGCGTGGTACCACGACCTCATTTAAATGGAAACGCGTCGCGGTCAGCTCGATTTCGTCAACTCTTTTTTTTTTGGGCCGAATTTCGGCCCATCTGCCACCGGCTGCGAAAGCGAAGCGAGCAGATTTATGCAGACTTGGTGGCTTGCGTCGCCCTTAATGAGAGTCGTTATCGTCTCGTGTCGTCCAATGTCGTCCAATGTCGTCTCGTGTCGTCTCATGTCGTCCAATGTAAAATTGGGAAATTCTGATTGCTTTCAACTTGGCTGTATTAATATGAGGAGCGAGAGTGATGGCCACTTGATTATAAAGGACAAAAAAGGACAAAGGTCACGTGGGAACCGTGTGTGCAACGAGCCGCATCGATCCCTGAAGGTGGAGAGAATTTCATGCTAATAACATTAATATCAATCATTATATACGCATAATCGCACGTCAGATGGTACTCCATAATTACATATTTATAATAAAACCGTACCACGAGAACATAGAATTTACTCAAACGCGTTGGCAGTTTCAACATCCGGCGACACTGCCGACGACCTCTCACCCCTGCGTCCCTCCTGCGCGGACGCAGAATCTCAACAAATCGCTTTCTCCACTGGTTCGAATAGCAATGATAAATAGCCACACTTAGCTATTCGTTGGGCTGAATAGACACACTTAGCTATCGGCTGGGATGAATAGACACACGCGGCTATTTTTTTTTTCGGGGCTTGGCGTCGCACAAGTACTTCCCAGTACTAGTACCCAAAGACGAGGATGATCTCGCGGACTGGGAGGAGAGAGAGAAGAGATTTCACCGCCTGGTTACCATGGGAACCATCTCGAGGATGATGCCAAGTCGATTTCCTGTCCATCGATCTCGGCGGATTCACAGAACAAGAAAATTGCTTTCTTCGTCCCTCGATGGGAGGGAGCAGTATTTATAATAAATAACAAACCTTAAGAAATTAATATGGAGTGAATATATAAAGTGAAATAAAGGTAAATGTATGAGCAATTATAATAAATATAATAAAGAGCAGGGATGTGTGCTTATTTTCTCTCCCGACCTCTAAATCCCCGTCAGCATTCGTCACCGGCAACATTTTTATCGTCCTCCGACTCGAACGAGCTGCGACATATCAATCTCTTTTTAATAGGCCATTTTGCGTCACAATTATTTGTGTTTGATAGATGCGAATGTATGTCTGGACGAGCCCATATATAAGGAGGATGGAGGATGGAGGGAGGGAGGGGGGGGGAGGATGAACAGCGGAGCGGCACGGTTCCACCTCATGGATCGCCCCCTGATGGATGCGCTGCCCCGCCCCCCATCATCCTCCCCCCCCCCCCTCCCCCCCCTCACCCCCCCGTCATCATCCGGAATCATCCGAAAACTCCTCTCATCTTTTTTTATTTTCTTTATTTTCTGTCTCTTCTCGTTCCGGTCGCCTGAAGTTTTCTTCCCTAGGAGTTTCCTTCCAAATTCTAATTTTTCTTCTTTTTTTTTAATGGAGCGAAATTTCGCTGCGTATCTTGTTTTCTCCTAACGCCAGGAAACTATGACGAGTTAATCGCTGATTTTTGGCGTGCCAATTCGTCTTTATTGCAGAATCGCAGCCTTCGTTTATGGGAGGGTTGCGACGTCACAACGAGCGAAAATATGCGAGGAAGCAAAACTGTGCATATTCCAAGGATTGCGAAATTTGGCAGTCTGAGAGTTTGCAGGATAATTATTTTATATCGCGATAAATGCGATAAAGAATTGCTAAATTACCTTAATTAACTTCTTATTCTTCTCTACAATTCAACAAAAACTAATGAAAAACTAATTTTTCATGAGAATTCAATGAAAATGCACTCATTGGACGGAGCTGAATATGAAGCATGAGAATCATGTTGTCAGAAGTCGAAAAATCAACGAAGATCATATTTAAGACCATATCGAAGATCATATTGTTGATTTCATATTTATCATATTTATGAATTAAATTACCAATTGTGGACTACGGAATGCAATATTCGGAGGTGGAGAGGTTGTCGGAGGTGGACTACCAGCGAAGCGATGTGAAACACGGGAATACCTGGGTTATTGTGACCGCGGGGTAATGTAACCTCGGGGTAATGTCACCATACTCTCGTATGTTCCTGTCACCTGTGACAAGAGTTTCTCATGTGACAGGAGACGTTTGGTTTACGCCAACAGATCGATTTGGGATCGTTGGGTTTATTAGGGTTCATACATTGCTTGCTTGGAGATTCTGGTCCTTTGGTCGATGATCCTTTGGACCTTTGGTTGACGGTCCTTTGGTCCCTTGCTCGAAGGATAAGTCCTTCATCACATTTGACGTTTCTGAATTTATTCATGGTTGCCAACCATTTTGGCACTGATTTCATGAATGAGAGCAAAGAAGAAGCGTTGGAGAAGTGCAAAAAAATAATTATGCAAATTCAAGGAAAACCGCGGTAAAGATGGAAGAAGAAGAAACGTGCAAATTTCTCGAGTTCCCAGACGCCCCGTGCCAATTTTCACTCGTGCAAGGAACCGCTTGAGCGTTGCAGACCCGTACCTGGCGGAGGGCGGCGGAGCGTGTCGGGGAATTCCCCCCCGCACTCTTCCGTAGAATGACCACGGAGAGAGGGAGGAACTCCGCCCTTTGAGAGAAAAACCTTTAGCCCTCCAACCTCCTCCCTCCAACCTCCTCCCTCTTCGAGTCTTCATTCTCGCGTCGCATCCGCTCTCGCACGGTCGCGGGTTCTCGGCGGAGGCGGCGGAACGCGGAGGCGGCAGAACGCGGGAGGTGGAACGCGGGAGGTGGAACGCGAGAGGTGGATCGCGGGAGGTGGATCGCCAGTTTCCGAGTGCCGTGACTCCGTGTGACCCATTAGTTGTATTTACCGGTATGAAAATGCTTGTGGATGCCTTCCCGGTGTGTGCCGTGCTGCATCAAATCAACTGGATATCAATTGGAACGATGGCGTGCTCGATGCCATCATTCTTGCCAGCATTCCTCCGATCGACTTCATTCCTCGTTTCCGAGTAATCGCGATCTACCATTATATATATTATATATACTGGTATGTCTGTAATATTTCGCCGGGATTCATCAGGT